CATTTCTTTATAATATAATTTTTTTTTTTTTCAAATCCCTGATATTCCAGGATATTTACTTGTAAGTTTTCAGTTTAAAAGACTTTTTTTTTTCTTGTTTACTAACTGTGTACATTGACAGGAGTTTCACAAGGCGATCGATCACTTTGAAGTATCGGTCAAAGAGAAGCATCTACTGCAACTACGAAATCTTCAACTAAAAGAAGACCTACAAGAGAGGTTTGTCAAAGACGTAGCTACAGTCAGTTTATACTTTAAGCTAATTTTTACTTGGTGAAAGTTACGATTATTAACAACAACAGCGGGGAAATTAACATTACTGAAAACAGTGACAGTTAAAACAGCAATAACAATAACATAAACACAAATACAACAACACCAAAAAAAACAAGACGAAGCAGAAGATGCAGAACGAGATGGAGGAATGAGAAAAAGAAAAAAGAACCGAAAATAGAATAAATAAAAGAAAGAGGAGGAAACGAGAAGAAGATGAAGATGAAAGAAAGCAAAAAGACATTTCTGAAGAATTTATAAAGGTTTAACTGATTATCATTTAATAAGCTGATAATTCACAAATATCCTTCTTTTGTGGTCACTGATACCAGGTTGTAGCCAAGTGTCATAGTCTTCTGTATTTGTCTTGCGTTTCTCGGGTAACTTGGGTGGTGCATTTGTTCACCTTTTTGTAGGTTTCTGCTACACCATTTACCTATATCATTTCTCGTATTCCTCTCGCCTTCCTCCCAGAAATTTTGCTGTAAAAAGTCGCATATGCAGTTTGGTCTGGCTGTATTCTCTTTAGATGGCTGAACCATTTCATTCTTTGTCCGTCAGTAAAATCCAGACATGGTCTTATTCTGACTTTCTATCTAATGCTGGTATTCGTTCACAAATGTTATCAAGGCAATATCTAATATTAAGATATTATATATTCTGTGATCCCTTGAGCAACGAGTCTTAATGAGCGACATCATATGTTTTGTTATGTTTTATTATCACAATCGACGTCATTGCACATATATCCTGATATATGACAGGTAACCATGTACAGTCAACAGAATGGCAAGAAAGTGTGAGGAACTGCGGAGATGCAGTTTTAAGTGCAAAGAGAGCAGCCTGGATACAATATTAAATGTTTTTTAAGAATCGACATCATAGCACTTGGGACACTCCCATAAGCGTCACGTCCCCATCTTCTGCAGCAACCGAAGAGTTCCAGTTTCGATTGCAAGCCTAGACAGATATAAAGCATAATGTCGTGAAATAAATTAATTCACATAAATGAAATCGTTACCGGTATAAGAAAAGAGACAAGCCATAGCTTGATGCATCCTATTTAAGGTGGAACTTTGGCGTTCATCGTGACAAGAGACAAGGTAAAAATACACAATAAAGATACCTCGAAAGAAATTATTTCACAGTTTAAAAAAAATGGTTACCGATAACAGAGGCGCAAGCCTTATTCTTTGCACACACTATTTAAGCGGGGCTCTGGCGTAAGTTGTGACGACAGGACAATGTGAGGGGAAGAGAACTAGAGTAGATCAAGTAATAAATAACTTGTCAATTTAACAAGGTGGAAAAAAGCACTGATCGATAGAACTTGAGATGAAAGGTTGTGAGCAGGCAGAATGACCAGCCCGGATGATATGTACTGTTGTTTGGCCCCTGTCCTTCTTCCCTTGTGCCATGCTTTCTGCTCTTTTTTTTTTTTTTTTAAAAATCTGACTTTGCGCTTGATGTGGCCAAAATATTTCAGTTTCCCAGACACGATTCTATTTATTAGTCAATCTTTCTCTATGTTCAGATCGCTGAAAATGTCAATGTTTCTGGTCTTTTTTTGTCCATGGTAATCTGTCTTTCTATAGTATTTCAGCTCAATAGCCCCGATATTCCTTTTTTTTTTTTTTAGGACTGCGAGGCAGTCCACGACTCACATCCATATGTTGCTACAGGGAAATGTATGCTCTCAAAGTTTTAACTTTTATTTCCTTGCTTAATCATATACTTTTAATGCTGTTTATCTTTGCATTGCTTTGACCATCCTCCTTTCGACTTCTGTCGAACAGTCTCCATAGCTATTTATTATGGATCCAAAAAGCTTGTGACATTTTCAATGTCTTCATAATTTATTGTTATTTTTGATTGACAGCCAGTTTTTAAATTGTGAACATTATTTTTGTTTTCTTTAAATTCTAACTATAACTAGGAAACCTTACAACGAAAAAAGAAAAGACGTGAACTAGTTTTTCTCTCCGTTTTTCTACTGTTACGATGATCTTTATAGTCATAGTTTTTATTGTATTGATTTACTTCCTAACGAACCTTACTGCATAAAAATATTAACATATTTTGATAAAATGTACTGCTTGATTAACATCTACCGATGCCTAAAAAACAACCACTCTTTGACGCCCTTAAATCGACTAAACCACCCTGGATATTCAAAAACTATCGCCGATCTCAGACTTGAGAGAAGAACTTCTAATAAAGTTCCCCACAAAGGTACCATTAATATAGCCAACTATCCTGTCATCCTTTTTTTTGAAATGCAATTTTTCTATATGTGAAGCCCTACTCTGGCTCTTGCCAGGTGCCGCAATATAGCCCGTCCAAAAATATGGTCTAGTGGCTGAACAGGGTTTCCGGGACCTCTCCACGGGTGATCCTCATCCACATGGTGGCACTCTGTTTCCTGGGGGTTTTATTGCTTGTGTGTTGTCCTGGTGGGGTAAAAGAAGATAGATAGGGAAAGGTACCAGGAAAACACTGTTAGGACCACATTTGGACAGATCAATCAGCATTGAATAAATAATTTGAATTTCTCACTGAATGGCTTGCTATTCCACAAAACATTCAAGGGGTCTCCTTGGTGAAGTTGTAAAGTCGTTAACCTCGTGTTTTGCAGGTCTTATGCTAGTTTAATGACTGCCTGATACGGTTTACAAGTGCAATTTTTACAGGCACATGGAGATCGTCGCCAGAGCTACGTGTTCGTGCTTTGTGTTCAAACTTTTCATCAGGCGGATAGCTGTTCTGTAGACAGAGACCAAGCCATATGTGATAAAACCCGGTGCAATAAAGCCGATCCTCTTGTCTTTCCTGTTTATTCGTGTCAGACATTTGAGGCTGGGTCTGAAAAATGTTCCGATAAAAATATTTGAAAAGTGGAACACACAATCAGCTGGCTGGCAGGCAAACGTGCTAGCCAGTACACTTTTAGGACTTCTTTTAAGATAGTGTATGTTTCATTTCAATTATTAGCACTACAATTTATCATCATCGTCTTCCTGGTCATCAAGTGCCTTGCCAACTGACGTGAGCTATCATTCTCTCTGCAATCTGTGATCTTCAGCAGCACTTATCAATTCGTGTGCTGACTTTCTCCCGTGCCATGTCAGAAGTGTGTCAAGAATCATCTAGTCTCTCTTCCCACAGATCTTTCCAGTAGTCACAGCATGTTTCAGTTTCTTTATTATGATAAGATGACAACAAAATGATGTTTGTTTCTTCATATGTTGTATTCAAACCCACGCCTCTTTTAAAACATATCTTTAGCTATCCAAGGATACAGTTCCAGTTTCGTCCTTTTTCGGACGAAATTTTTTGTTATTTGAAGCCCCACCCTAGCTTTTGCCAGAGGCCGCAATATAGGCCGGCCATAAATATGGTCAATTGCCTCAACTCGGTTTCTGGGACCTCTCCACGGCGATCCTCATCCACATGGTGGCACTTTGTGTCATCGGTGTTTATCGCTTGTGTGATGTCCTGGTGGGGTAGAAAGTCAGTCAGTCAGTCTGTCCAAGGATTGGTATATAAAACCACATCTCTGAGGCCTTAAGCACTATAACTAGCCGGATCATTGCTTAAATAGAGGCACAGCATAATATTTTTTCTAAATGTTGAATTTCCATACTGAAACAGCTTGTATGTATAATGTTTTTCCGCAGAGTGAATGCAATAGATAGCCAGCTGAGAAACATTAAAAGGCAACAGCTTATCAGCGGCAGAAAGAGTAAATCAGTCCCTGAAAGCACGCCGTTTGCTTTATCTGCATTAATGGAAGAGAATACAAAACTGCGAACAGGTGAAATTAAATCATCTTCCGATTTCTTTTGTTCACTTAAATGACTTTAAATATCTTTATTTAACCTATAGACAATTTTCTTATCTAGCTCTAATTATAAATTATCAAGAGAGGATGAACGAGTAGTCAACGGATTGAACTGTAGGAATTCATTCAGGATGCGGCTATTTGAGTCGCAGGGGTAGAGCCTTATGCAAAATTGCATATGCAACTGCTTATATGTTTTAACTTCTGCTTCCATCGATGATAAACTAGGATTCTTGTGGCATAATGTTTGTGTTGGCTCTGATGGTTAAGGTACAACAATATACGACACTACAGTTTCACTATATCTTAATTTTGTCCTCGAATTAGTATAGCTTCATACATATTGCTCAACTGCCTTCAACTTTTTATCTTCCTTATCCTTATAGTCTATAATATATATATATATATATATATATATATATAATATATATATATATATATATATATATATATATATATATATATATATATATATATACATACATATATATGTATAAATATATGTATATTTTAAAATATGCTTTATATGTACCAATCAATATAGCTAAAAAATTAAACTTTTTTTTCATTTTATGGTTTTTAACAAACCACATTTTATTCCTAGTCTCAAATAAAAAACCGGTACATTTACTTGTTTTTATTTCAATTACATATGAACTATTCTTTTGTATATCTCCGTCTTTAAAGATTAATTCGGTCTTTAGAATTGCTTCATGACTGTCGCCAGCCTTTAGAAGAACGATAGTAATGTGTTTTATATCCGTGGAAGCGGTAGCTGAACCGTATCTTTTAGCTACATCTATATTTTTTAATCCCATTTCTAGATGCAATGGATACTACAATCAGTAGTATAATTCACATTAGTTTATCCTGTATTTTTTAATAGGATAAAGTAGCACTATTAAAAAAGGTGCAAGACATGGCCGATGAATTGAAACATCTTCGCAGTTTGCTTCAGATAGTCACAGATGAAAATGCAAATCTGTTTGCGAAACTGACGGCGTCTTCAGAGGTATGTTGACTGCTTGTTCAGTAATAATCCAACAATCCTTATTGTTTCTTTATTTTGCCTTTGATTCCCCCTCCCTAATAGTCCAACGGATTTCTTCCAACTTTCGCCAAGTGGCTATTTACTTTGCCAACACGTTTAGTTCACATCATGTCCTCCTCATTGGGATACAGAATAACACATGGTCAAGACCTGTCTACAGCTTATCGTGGCCATCCTATAAACTGGTTTCTTGCAGGGAGTCTGACAACCCTAGATAGAGTTGACGTTTCCCTCGATGACGCAGCGAGAGACGAGGAACCAACAATATGCACACACAAAGTTAGATATGTAAAACGAAAGTGCATACAACATTAAATAATCCTATAAGAAGACAGGCTGCAGAAGTGGACCAAAAACCTGGAATTTACGCCACAGTTTACAGCTGATGAGCGCTAAAAAAGAAGACAACAAGATGAAGAACAATAAGTAATGATGATGAAGAAGAAGAAGCAAAAGACGAAGAAGAAGAAGAAGAGTGATGATGATGATGATGATGACGATGCTGATGTGATTGAAGTAGAGTTGGCCAGGGTGATTGTTGACCACAGGGGGATCGACCATGGGAGCTCAACCTTAACACCCCCCCCCCCCCTCCCAAACATTATTTATATATATTTGGGGGAGAGGGGGGGTGTTAATATGGCCACTCCCTGTCACCATACATGGGAGTTCTCCTTTTAAATGTTTGTTGTTATATTAAACATCATTTCGATTTTTACAATTACTTACCCTTTGGCCCATAATATATTATTTTTGGTGTTTGCGTCTGCCAACTTAGACAAGACTGGAGCCACTTAAGGTCCTCCGTCCGTAGAATATTGCGAGCATTTAAGCGGTCCAACCCCAATGATTTCTTTATGTTGGCGCCCCTGATTGACCTCATCGCCATCGATCACAGATTGGTCTAGCGCACACACACATTAACACACACATGCACACACGCACATAGCGAAGTGGTCAAACCGTTTGCCTTGTACTCTGGAGGACGTGGGTTCGTTCTACGGCTGCGCCGTTCAGTTCACGAGTGAAGTTTTTACGGGGATTGCGGGGGATAGTCACCTGAGCTACTGAGTTCGTGCTTTTTGCGACGCTCTCAGTTCTGTGGAGAGAGACCAAGCCATATGGGATAAAACCCGGCGCAATAAAGTCGATCCTCTCGACTTCAACGTTTAACACGCACGAACCAACACATACCCTGGGTAAAAAGCATAATTATTAAACGTTCAACCTAACAGGAGGTCTCTATGGCGAACTGGTTGAAGCTTTCTGCCTCTAACTCTGTAGGTTGTGGGTTCGATCTAAGACTCCTGCGTACCCACGGTTTGCGAGTGCAGGTTGTCACATATCACTCTTGTCACGTGCCTGATTTAAGGATTTCTCCTTAAGAACCAACAGCACTCAGAAATAATTATGTTGAGTCGTTGGCTCGTATTGGTCTAAGGGATGCCAAGTGGCCAATATACGCTCAACTTATTTCTGGAGTAGGGCAACTCAAGTTTTGGCACAACAAATTATATATATAATATATATATATATATATATATATATATATATATATATATATATATATATATATTATATATATAATATTCCTAGGCACACTTGGCTGGACGCCCCCATTGCTATAAAAAGATAGCTCCCAGGTTATGACAGTTTACTATCATAACCATGTTAACACATATAACACTTATTAATCACACAAACATCAAAGCTAAACAGTTAGAATGGTGAAATAGGGACACCCAAGTCAGCCATGAAAATGAATGCATGTAATCAGTACAATAAGTAAAGAAAAAAGTAAAGTTCCCTTTTCACGCCTTTCGGCGCATCGGGCAAATGGACAGAGCGTCCCATATTTTTACAGACCATCAGCACTCTGTGGGTATGTGGTCACATTAAATAGGACAGCCATGACCTGCGACGTCCCATACCACATAAAAATCCACGCAGCCCACGCAGGTTTCGATCGCGGTATGCTGGCTTACGAGTCGGACTCGCAACGCCTTAGCCACGGACGCCGCAATCAGTACAATATTTACATAAAATAGTGAATCAGACACAAGATCTCAGTGGATGGATCCTAGGAAAAAATGACTCGACCCAGATATTGAAGCAGCCAGATTGCCTTGAGATGGACCTGATTTCATCACGGGAACTGCGAGGAGCTGTGGGAAAAGAGCATAATGGTGATTCATCGATTACTTAACCCGGTTCGTAGATCGATGCTCCCCTCAGTCCATGGTGATTCGACTGTAGTTGACTCAGGACTATATGTCTCTAGTTGATCTGGTACCAGTTTACCTCCCCATCGAGGACACCGGAACTGCACAGGGATTCAACAAGTCAAGTTCACAAGTCAGGTCACAAACTGCCTCAGAGCTCAACCAAGCTCTTGAAGACTGGTTCACCAGGTTGAGGACACAAATGTCTGCAAAGGTCCACTTGTCTTGGAGCTCACACACACCACTCTTGCCATATTGAGGTAGTGGCAAAGCGGGCGGGACTTCTAGGTTATGCTTGGTGCATAGAATGGTATGGGTTGGTGGTTGTTGGCTGGACTGTGATTCGTCTGCCTGATATCTACAGAGGTCTCATCCTGTCAGGAAAGAACTCAGAATTAGTAATCACCAAGGGGGTATCATCCTGTCAGGAAAGAACTCAGAATTAGTAATCAGCTTTCATCACACATCAGCTCATCCCACCTCTGCTCCTCTTCTACATTCCTCAGAGTGTACTCTCAAGACCAGGAGACTATGTAAACTAGTGTAGCAGATAGAAAGTCAGATTTATATAGTGGAGATAGATAGATAGACACTACCACACATAGATCATCCTCTCTCCACCCTGACATCTGCATCCAGACACACAATGTTTACAATCAGTACCCATATATCTTCCGTCTCCCCAGGCCATTCACTACACACCCATCAATCTGTGTCAAACACACTAGGCGCAGAGCATTCCCTGTTCCAGTTAATACTGTCAAAACTTCGTCTGCCTGGTCAGAGAACAATTACTTGTAGGGTTTAATATCTTTACCAATGGTGTGGGGTATGTAGAGCGCCAATTTATTAGTCTGTACAGGGGAAGGTCTAAGGTTCGGATCCTGATCTCTGGACATCAAGAACGGTCGAACTCCGTGCGATCACATAGCTGATACTGCTATCTCTACAGCAGTGACCAACTTTAGAAAGACATCAATTAAGGTACTCGTAAACTATAATTAACTTACCCAAGCTTAGGAAATCTTCCAAGTTAGATCTGGAACTATGAATGCGCCAAATTCTATCAAATTGGATATACGTCTTGACACTTTGGTATCAGGATAAAGAATGGCGTTTTTCAAAATCAAACGCGTCACCAGAAAAGAAGTTCCTTGTATTAATGAACACGGAGTAAACCGGTTGACAGGAATTTTCAAATAAAACATCAGAATTACCCAATTTACAGTTGCAAGTTTGAAAATGAAGATATATCAAAGCAACTAGAGGGTCCAGAAATTACTATTTTGCCAGATAAAGGTATAGATCAATATAAGGGACTATATACCTTTCCGGACGGGTCCAAGTTTGAAAATTTACTGAGCGCGAGGGATATCAGGTCCCGACTAGTCCAATGTGTGTGGTGGCTGTTTATTTCATTACACAGGTATTTCAGATATATGTGGGTGTTGTCTCTGGGGCAGGGCTATTCAAACAAGTTAACACAGGGGCCAAAATGTCGAAAATGGGGATCGGCCCGGGCTAGAGGCCTGAGTCCCAGAAAAGAAAGATTATTAATACAGTAACATTGGCAGTGATGGCGGTGTCCGTGGCTAAGGCGTTGCAAGTACGACTCGTAATTCCAACGTACCGTGATAGAAACCCATTGCTGGTTGTGTGGATTTTTATCATGGTATGGGGCGTCCCAGGTCGACCCAGCCTAAAATGGGTACCAGAATGTATGTCATAGGGAAGCAAAGACAGCCGGTGTAATGCTGACCACATTACCCACCCAGTGCCGATTGGTCTGTAAAAATATGGGTGTTCTTTCCACATGTCTGATGCGCCTAAAGTCGTGAAAAGGGATCTTTACTTTTTTTTTTTTACTATTAGGAGTGACAGGTCGGTCAATTGCTAGGCTTATGCAGACTAGATTCGCTCTGCTTAGGAGAATGAGCCAATCGGGATGAAAAACGATGTAATCTTCTTCTTCTTCTTTGCGTTCACCAGCTGTAAACTCTGGTGGAAAGTTCTGGTTGTTCGTCCACTTCTGGACTGTTGTCCTGTTCCAGAACCTGATCGTTGCTTGTGCATCCGTTTGACAGATCTGACACATTTAAGTGTAGACTGTTGGTTCTTTGCCTCTCAGGCAGATGCACTCCGACTTCAGAGGAAGCTCCCAAATAGTCGACTCTTACGACATGCTTTTGGGCAGGCAATGGGTCTATTCTTGTTTTCTCTATATTAGGGCCCGGAACCCAAACGGGGGACACGATGTAATGAAGTGAACACTTTCGCTCTAAAACACTTCATGCAGAGTGGCAAGCTTCACGGGTAGTGAGCATACTTTGGATCTTTTCTCTAGGCTATGCCTGCGTGGTGGGTAATGAGCCGGCAGATAGTTTGGCTGAATCTGCACTACTGGGTGGTTTGGGAACAAGCAACGGGATCAGTAGGGATATAAGATTTTTATGTCCTGAGGAGAATGAGGCATCTGGGTGTAACCAGAGGGTCTGGCCGGCTCAATGCACTCAGAGGAAAGGCAAGATGGACATATAACCAGATTATGACCGGTACCATCAGTATTGGAACTCTGCACTGGCTGCTGAAGATGAAGACGGAGCATGCATGGGAATGCCCCGAGTGCTGTGATGTCAATTTTGGACTCGTCTTAACTTAACTCAACGCAGCTCTAAAACATCCTTTAGTTCTATGTTCATACATACATTTTTGTGTGTATTTAGGACAAAGTACAAGTTGACAAGCTGGCAGAGGAGTACCATAACACAGTGTCGGACTTGAAATCAAGGCTCACATCTGTCACTGTTGCCCATGATCGGCTGTTGCAGGAGAAGATACAAACCAGCCAAAAACTGCAGCAGATGGCATTAGACAAGGAGGAGATAATTAAGGTACGCCTACTTTTTGTGTGCATATTTAAACAAAAATTTTCGAGGCTGAGTCAACATGGAAACCTAAGTAAATATTTGTAATCCCCTCCCCCCACCACCACCATCTTACCCTCGGCGAGGATCCGAACCTATAAATCCCCGACTGTAGGCAAAACTTTACTACTGCGCTATATTTGCAGTAATCGAGAGTGATGGTTTATTTAGTTATTAGGGTATTTTACCGATTAGTTGTGTTAGTATTCCGGCGGTCCACGATAATAGCAGAATTCCTCGTAGAAACTAGACTTGAGTGTCCCAAGCATTATTTAACGTGTACACACTCCACTATTCACTGCTGTACAGCAGAAAAGGCGTCATATAACATGAATCCCAAGCATGAAGTAACTTGTGCACATTCAACAATTCACTGCTATACAGCAGACCATATGTCAAGTGACAGTTAACCCAAGCATAATCTAACTTGTTCACATTCGACTATTCACTTTTATACATCAGAACAGGCGCAAGATGACATGTATTCCAATCATTACCTAACTTGTTCACATCTCACGATTCCCTGCTTTTCCGCAGTACACATTTCATTCAACATTACCCCACTCATCATCTAATTTGTTCATATTTCAAGATTCATTGCTATACAGTATAACAGACATTAATCAATATTATGAATATCCTCAAATATTTGAAATCCTCACATGGGTTCAGGGAAGAAAAAAATTTGTCAGAAACAGCAACTAAGGGTCTAAATAGTTAGATTTCACAGTTATTCTATAAGTTATTCTTATTCACAATAAGCTAGAAGCTTTTTTAAAGGACAAACGCAAGGAGATAAGGAGAAAAAAAAAGGAGGAAGAGGGGAGGAGAGGAATACGATTTTTTTAAACTGTTGAATTAGGGAATTTTCTTTTACTATAATATCCTGTTTAGCTGTTGTCTTGTTTAAAAAAAAAAAAAAACCCAAATTTTTTTTGTTCTCTTGCTCTTCTTCTTCTATTTCCTTTTTATCCTACTGTTATTGCCTTAAAGCGTCGCAGAAAAGAGTTGCATGTAGTGTCCTTGTCCTTATTTAGTTGTGCAGCTTGTGGTAAGGTCATAATACGTTTCTTTAGTATCTCTTTTACTCCACTCACTCTTCTCTTGCTTGGTAAGCTTCGTGTCTTGAAGCCTGCTCTTTTCATGTAGTATGCTCTAGCTGTTGGCTGATTTGATTTCACTGTGACCAGGGGACCAAACCATTTGATCGTTTGATTTACTGTGAAATCACTTAACGGGACTGTGCCTATAATTGTTCTTAGTTTCCCGCTGGTGACCGTCTCTTCTACTTTTTCCCGCCGCATTTCTTATACAAGTCATCTCTCATGTTGCAGTTTTATGCTTTTGGTTTTCAAAGACTGTCCATGTCTGGCACTGAAGCACAAATCTTCGAATTAGAGATGAATTAATTTTATTTTCATTTTTTTTTTTTTTTTTTTTTACAGTTTCGAAAAACGGGGTTTTTACTGGTATAATAATAATTACACTAATTACATTTCATAAAAATATCCCCATTTGTAAAATAATTTCACTAGAAAATCCGTTTTATTTCAAAGACGTTTAATCTTCTTCAGAATAAAGGAAGTGCCAGGAAGGTGAATATAACTATGTTTAACTAGTGATATTCTCTTGATAATTTTTTTTTTTTTCTGTAAAGGAAAAAACAAAAATGATTCAGGCAATGGAGAAGATGCACAGCCAAGCTGAGACGGAGAAGTATGTTAACATATTTTTTTAAAATCATTTGTATCGCAATTATTCTTTTTCTATTCTATCTTTGTTGGCGTCTGTGGCCTAGGACTTGCGAACGCACCTCGTAATGCCAAGGTTTTGGGTTCGATCCCAACTACAGGTGATTTAGCAGCAGTTCGCGTTGCTTTGGTTTCGACAGTAGTGTCGAAAGCAGACCGTATGGTGAGCAAATTACTGAACATAAATTATCCTCGAAAAACCACAGCCACAAAATGCTGGGGGTTTGTTCGGCAACCTCTGTAAAGGACAAACAACTGACTTTTAACCAACGATTTTTCAACACACTGATTCCCTAAGGTTTGCAAGAATGTCTTAACGGCTACGACACCAACATCTAACTTGAGGATATCGGGATTGATTAACCATCTAGTCTATATTTTATTTTTATTTTTAACAAGTAACAATTAGGCAAGTTGTATTCCCTCTTGGATCTGAGGTAGAGAGCATCAAATGCCTAACCGAAGTCTTGTTTCTACCTTTTAAACACCAATGGAGCATAGGCCCTCAACCAACACACCCAGAGCCATTCTATTCCTTACTGTGGAATGCAGATCACCTCATGTCCTCCTCATTATTTTAATATCACCCTCTAGCTCCCTTCTCCGTGTGTTTTTGGCGAGTCTCAATTTCTGTCACTGTGTGTTCCCGTGCAAAAATATTCTCGTTTTATTATTCTCAGGTCTTATAAACGCATGTCCTATCCAACGCCAGCGTTTTCCCTCACCCTTGATTTACTAGAATGTATTCAGTTATCTCCTAAACTCCACGTTAGTGATTCTTTCCTGCCACTTGGTTCCATCATTGCGGTACAGGCGCAAGTTTAATGAATATCTGTAGCTTATATGTAATTGTTTCAGTGGTTCTCCGTGTTTCAGCTACATACAAAATTACCGATTTGACATTAACACTAAATATTGTAAGTTTATTGCTAGTTTAATTTCGTTTAATGTCGATGTTTCCTAGTACTATGAAAACAATTGCCTTTTGTATTCGTATTTTAAAACCTGTCTCGATTCCCACATGTGTATCTACGTTAAATGCTCAAACAGGCGTAAGACTTCACATTTTGGAGTGGAATACCACAAAGAGAAATTGGATTATTGTTTACCTAGTTTATTCTTGTTATCTTTGTCTTTTCACAAATGATGTTTAGACCTATTTGGTGTGGTCTCTCATCAAGTATATTTAATGTGCCTCGTATCTAACTTCGTGAGCGAGATGGGAGAGAAATGTCACCAGATCTCAAGCTGCTGATCATCAAGGTGTTTTGTATGAATCCAATTAATTCCACACCTGTTGGCAGCTGCTGCTGTCTTAAAAATCCAGTCGATTGTCAGTTAATAATAGTAACTGCAAAAAAGGCATACCCTGTCTTAAAATGTTACTTTACTAAATTACTAATTTTTCTGTGGGATCCTATAGGATGTCAACATCTTCCACTGATTTTCCTTCTCAATGCCGAGAAAAGACTTTTCATAGTCCACAAATCGTGTAACTAATTTAAACAAGGGCACAATTTTTGTTAAAACCGTGTGCATGTTGAGCACACATTCTTTTGTATCTGAGAACGACCGTAGTTAGCCTTATAATTCAATACAAGAAAAATAAACCCTGAATTGTTGTACACACGTATTGTTTTCTTTGCTGTACAGTTCCGTCGTCCTCTACTGGGTTAAGTGCATTGTGCAACACTGTGAGCTGCAGATTTCCTTAGCAATACTTTTCTTCTGTGCCCAGGGTTGTTTGTGTTGGCTAATTGCTATAGTACTATTACAAAAAAGTAAAGATTCATTTTCACGCCTTAGGCGCATCGGGCATATGGGATGAGCACCCATATTTTTACATACCAATTGGCACTAGGTGGGTAATGTGGTCAGCGTTACGCAGGCTGTCTTTACTTTGCCAGGACATACATCGTGGTACCCATTTATAGCTGGGTCGACCTGCGACGCCCCATACCCTGATAACAATCTACTCAACCAGCAGTGAGTTTCGATCGCGGTACGCTGGAATTACGAGTCGGACTAGCAACGCCTAAGCCACGGACGCCGCTACGGTACTGTTAGTGCAATTAAATGCATTTGCAACTACATATTTATTGTGAATGCTGCTTTCAACGATGATGAACTGCATCTCCAGTTTGTAATGGCACTTCAGAAGACTGACTTGTGCATTTAATGCTTGTGTATAATTTAGGCTTCGCCGAGACTGCAGTCTGTGTCAATTATTGCAAAAGGGACAGAGATGGCATTCTATGATTTTCATTAGCGCAGGACAGGAGCAACTAGAGCAGTGGCTCATGTTGTGGCGACCCCCAACCATACAATTATTTTCGTTGCTAGTTCATAACTTAAGTGAATGTGTGTTTTCAAATGGTATATTGCTACCCCTGTGAAAGGGTCGTTCGACTCACAAAAGGGTCGCGACCCACAGGTTGAGAACGGCTGAACTAGAGGGTGCCTCGTTTGCTACGAAGTTAGAACTGCTATTACCTGACTCTGGGCTGAGCACAGAGTAAGTGCAAGCATCTGAGATTGTTCATGTGTCCCACAATAAAGGAGATTGAGTTTTTAGGGATACATTATTGTATAAGTTAGTGCCCCTTAAACGAACAACCACACATTTCTTTCTTAGCACACATGCCACTTCTCCCCACATGCGCTGAAGTCAGATGTTTCAAAGCCCGTGGGCAAACACGAACAGCTAGTAGATATTCACTTACTTAAAGTTTAATTGGAAAGGACCCTTTTCATGGTTTTTAGCGCATCATATAGCACTAGATCTATACTGTTAGAGACCAGTCGGCAACATAGAGCCAGTTCAGTTTACGCTGGGTCGACGTGTCAGTAAAGTAAATCAAAACGCTTTGAGGATAATTTGAACCCTATTCATTCGGGTCGGCAGGCATGTGTGCTCAAGGCAATGACTTTTCTGTCTGTATGCATTCTGCATTTAACATTATTTTTATTGGTTACCTAATACCCCTGTTTGTTCATGGAAATGATATAAAAAAATAGTTTTCATCTAATGTCACTGTTTGTCTTCTATATATAGCATTGTATTTATCGTTCCTCGTTGTCTCCCATATGTGGCATTGTAATAATTTGTTCCTATAATGTCATTGTCAGTCTGGTTGCATGGCATGGAGGTAAGTCGGCACACGAACTGATACATGCTGCAGGAGATCGTTGATTATGGAAAGGCATGATCGCCAACGCCAATCGGCAAGGCACCAGATGAGGATGATGATGATGAATGTCATTGTTGGTTTCATGTACGCGATATTCTTTATATTGTGCTTCTAATGCCCTTGTTTATTTCCTGTACACGACAGTCCTTTTACTGTTCATCAAATATTCATGTTTTTCTTTTTTCTTTTCTTTCGTTTTTTCCCTCTGTATAGATCAAACTAGAATATATGTTGTCTTGTGAACTACTGCATTCCGTTTTGCCAACCAAATACTTTTTTAACGTTCTTTGCTACTATCTTATTTAAAATTGTCTCTATCCTAATTTGACACTTCGTTCTTAAAGCTGACAATGGAGTTGCTATTACTTCGATTTGCACCTATTGGATTGGCATCCGGATTGTGACGTTTGGAGCCACCGATTGTCAAAATTTTGGGCTACAATACTGGAAAAGGAATGTAGAAAAAAGCATGCACATGTTTACAACTGAATTTAAAATAAATTACACTTTCCATCTAATGTCACTATTTCTTATTTCTTTAATGAAATTATTTCTCGTGACCATCTGATATCACTGGTTTTTCGTCCCTGTAATGATATATTTTATATTGACTCATAAAATGACGCTGCATCTTTTGTCATCCATTCAATGACACTGTTTCTTTCCCGTTTATGACACTGCTGCACCACCCCCCCCCCCTCCCTTTTCCTTTAATCTAATGTCACTGTTTCTCATCCTCTATATTCTGATTTACAAAAAAGAATTTAAAAATGATGTAACAACACTAGTTTCCTTGTCATTTTTACGGTTTTTTTTTCTGTACATTAAGTTAAATATGGTAATTTACTGAAGAATCGCTCAAGTAATTAAGATTCCTGTAATTTGTTGTTTTGTTTTCAGGGCACACGAAGAGTATCGAAAGCTAAAGACCGAGTTCAGTAATCTAAAACATGAGTATGGAGTACTAAGTGCCAAACATCAGGAAATTGTCAACAGGTTTGGAAATGAACAGAAAGGTAAGCCATTAGTTCACTGCTTATTCACATCACAATACTATGTTTTAATTTAATTGTGGGTTTACAGCAGTATGAATATATATATATTACCTTTAATTTTTTTATGGATGAACAAACCACGAAAAAGCAAATTCTTCCTTTGTTTCTTTAGAGATTTTTGTGGGTTCGCAGCAGTTTGAATATATTACTTTTGATTTCTTATGGATGAACAACCACAAAGAAGCCAATTCTTCCTTTGTTTCTTTAGACCCTGTTGTGCCTCTCAGCGTTTGGTTTTGAAGAGGCATTTGTGGTTGTTTTAATACATGAAGAAAAAAAAAAAAAAAAAGATATTAGGGGTACTAAACATTAAATAAACAAAATACTACAGACAAGAGAGAATAAAAAAATTCTTTTCTGCCTTGCATCTTTCAAATCATTGTTCCTCAACAAGTCACACTAAACCATTTGTATGTATGTTTAGGAAAGACTGAGTTATGCAGCTAGTTTTCTCTGGGATGAGTTAGCTAGTCGTTATCGAGGGTCCAGTTTAGATGTAGGCAGGTAACCCCATGATAGCTCTGTTCCTGTACAAGCAATGTCCTTCAGTATTTCATTTGAAAAAACTAGTAAAATCCTATAAGCCTCAGCAAAATCTTGAAGTTAGCACACGCAGGATAAATGCACAAGGCAGTCACCAGATGTGTCAACGCAGAATTGCAGCTCAGTGTTGATACAAGCAGCAAATCACATAAGCCAATATTTAAAATGCAGTAATT